GGGGGCGGACCTACGCCGCCCGTACGGGGAGCAGCTTCCTCACCTGCCGCCGTATCCTACAGTCACCAGTCCACTGCGACCCTCACCCCGTCCCCTCAGGAGGAGATGCAGCCCATGCTGCAGGATAACCCTGACCTACACGAGCGCAGGTACGCCAGCTGCAGCAGCTTAACAATGCTTTTCTTTTTGAACCATTTACAGTTTCATGCATTTGACGTCTGTCGTCCTCCATTAGGCGACTCTTGGTGAGCCCACCCCCTCCACCAAACCCCTTCTCCCCTCCGCACACGTACGGCTACATATCCAGCCCCCTGGGTCTGGACACGGACGGCCTGGAGGAAGAAGAGGATGAGGAAGAGGGTGACGAGACGGATGCGGAGGTGGCTCGAGTCCACCAGCTCCACACCCACCCTCACCAGCAGCACTTGCCCCAGCAGAGGGCTCTCCTGCGGAGCCTGGAACAGACCCCGGCCTCCAGCACCTGTGACCTGGAGAGCTCTGTCACCGGGTCTATGATCAACGGCTGGGGCTCAGCTTCAGAGGAGGACAACGCCTCATCGGGTCGTTCCAGCGCCGTCAGCTCATCGGATGGATCTTTCTTTACCGATGCTGATTTCGCCCAGGCTGTAGCAGCTGCGGCCGAATATGCTGGTTTACGGGTGGCAAAGCATCCTGGGAAAGGCCACCATCAGCTTCCAGTGTCTGGAGGTACTGGAACATATGCTTTCTTAATAAATGTTCCTGATGTTAATGCGTGTAATTAAAAGAGGCCTAACAATATAAATCTACTCCTGAATCCATTTTTATGAACAAACTCAATCCCAGCCTGCATCATTTTCCACAGAATATTCTGTTTCACTTGGACATTATGGAAGATATGGAAGTGTCCCACCAAAATTGCCTAATATTTGCTCATGAAATTAAATGATAATGGTTTTAAATGGAGACACTAACTGTAACGCTATACATCCTACAGCAGCTGAATTAATTTGTATTTAAATCTGCGGCCTTTAATAGAGCTGAACTAAGCAAACCCTCTGTCCTCTAATTTGCCAGCAGCACGGAAATACCAAAACCTCCCTGTGGGACACCGTCCAGGCAGCCCAGTGTCCACAGACAGTAATGTTAGCGCAGCCCCGGGTCAGAGGAGGCCTCTAAAGAGGCAAAAACAACATCCAGCTGCTCAGACAGGCTATCAGCGCCGAGAGGCCTACTCAGAGGGTATGTCCACACACAATTCTGCTTTTTGTACACTGTCATTAGGGATGGGCATCATGGATACTAAATACTTATCTACCTTGTTTGTTTCATTTAAATATATATATGAAGAGTTCATTTGCAAAAACCGATAACTCTATTTTTTTTTTTTTTTTCAGAAATCACGTTTTTTTTATTGCGCATTCCAAGTAATATCAATCAAACTGCAGTTGGGTTGTTTTGATTAAGTAATAACTTAAAGGTGGGGTAAGCGATTTATGGTAGCCAATGTTGACATTTGAAATCACCAAAACAAACACGCCCCTACCCCAAAAGGGTCT